ATTCCAATGACCAAAAAGATTAAATACAGACAGGACAACTGTAAACCAAACTTGACAGGAAACAATTCCTTTGAATGCCTAACTTGCCACTTATTGGAACTTCTAATTCTGCAGTTAAAACCCCCCATCCACAGACAGCATGTGTCAGCTGTTCCCAGATCTGACCTTTCTCATTTGGTTTCCTACCGAATTGTAACTCAATCTCAGAAGCAGATGGCGGCTGTTTGAGAGGAAATAGGATAGTCCAAGGGGGTGGGAGAAGTCTAGGGGGGAGACTCGGGATACCCTAATAACAACAACAACACCCTTCCACACACAACAGAGGTGGAACTCTGGGTCTGGAGTCACCCTTCACTCAACACCATTCCCATCAACCCTCAGGAAAGCAGAACGCCACAGAACACCACCCTGACATCGCAGCACAACGCCAATGTCAGTGTAAGCGCAGGGGTACAACAAAATAAGAGCACACACGCTCATAAAGACTGACATAAGTGTGGTGCAATCAATGGGATGCGGCATAAAACATCAAAAGCTTTAGGTCCTGGAGGTTCCTCTCCCAGCTTGCAAAAATCTGAAGGCAGTAGGAGACAGCCACAGTGACAACTCCAGTCAGGACAAGAGGAACCTGTTTCCAGGCAGCCTCAAAGGAACACAGCGGTGGACTGGGCCCGCGACAGGCCGCCAACGCAGACCTTAACTTTGCCACTCCCTCCAGAGGAGGGATCCCCGAGGTGCCTCCCTGCCTGGACAGCCCCCGGCCCCGGCCCATCTGCAAACAGGCGGAGGACACAGACAACAGCACACGATGGCGGGATCACGGGCGCGAGTGAGGATTGGTTTGCGAGTGTTAATGATCACTTCATTCTGAGTCAAGCAGCGAGGGTTTGGGACTGGTGTGGAGAGCCCCAGACCGGCTCGGCCGACAGGGGGAGTCCCTGAGCGCTGTCCTAACTCCCTGCCTGCGCAAACAAGGAAGAAATCAAACCCCTGGAACTGAGTACTGTTTCCCTTAAAAAGCCCTTTAACTCCCCTTTGCCCAATTCCTCCTGAAACTGCCTTCTAGCTCTCCGGCACACACGTCTTTAGAGGCTCTGCGTTCCTCTAGACTTCATCCATCCCAGGATAACCCATAAACTGGAGAACTTTATTTAAAATAACCTCAATAAACTACAAGCAAAAACGAATCCGAAATCAGCTAATGATTTCTCACAAAAGGGTGGAACCTGCCTACAAATTTCCCGTATAGTACAGAAATCACCACTGTGAAATTTGTTTCTGTATTGTATGGGAAATATTCAAGAATACAAGACAAAGCAGAACCTAAAACATTAATTGCATTTTTACTTCCCTAAAACAAAGCAGCATTTCTGATAAAGGGGTGTTATTTTAAATCTGCTACCAACTCCTAAGTACAATAGCTTTCTAATCTTTAATGGAAGAGTTTTAACGCATATTTAAAATATCAGTGAAGTGTCTTATGCAGGCATGGGTAAAGAAGCAGTAACCTCTGTCTGTCTGCGAATTGCTATTTACGCCCCCTACCATCAGGTCCTGAGGCCTGGTAGCGTCCTGATGAGCTGGTCAGCTGAGAAGGGTGGACAAGCCCGCGCTCACTCAGGCCCTGTGGTCCTGGGGAGGGACAGCCCCACACCCCAGGTGCCCCCAAGACAACCCTGCCCCTCCACACCAGTCCAGCACCACACCGGAGCACACCGTGAACTTGGAAGTTTATTGGAACATGAAGAGAGCAGAGCTTGGGTCAGATTTGTACAGGTGCAGTATTCCCTTTCGGGAGTCTCCTCCAGGTGTGCATTCGGAGCGCCCCAGCCAATTTCTCCAAAGAACAAATCTAGCGTGCAGAGAGCAACAGCCAGGAGGGAAAACTGAATAATATTGGATATTGGGAGACCAAGAAGTGGAACTCTTGCACGAGTCAACAAATGAAAACCAATCCAAGCAAGATCCGGGAGACATATTTTGGAGATTGAGGAGTAATGCAAAACGCATAAATCGGGGACGGAAAACAGCAAAGTAGCCAATTCCAGAGAATTCCATGGGTCGTCCAGACTCAAAGTGCTTTCATGAGTCTTGCTGTGACTGTCGACAGGGGGAGCTACAGGGCTCCAGAAGGGAATACTGCAGCTTCCAACAGAGACCCACAGGTTGAACACCACGGCAACAGAGAAGACTAACTCTCCACTAGTACAGGCAACACCGCGCAGCTGGGCGCCTGCCCAGAGCTACGACAAGCACCCAAAAACGACAGAGAAGCAGCACAAGGACATCCACCAGCTTGGGAAATAAAAAAAAAAACAACAAACAAAAAAAGTAAATAAACTACAAATTATATGAATTAATATTTGAAACAGAAATAAAAAAAAACAAAACAAAAAATACAACTAAATAGAGAATGGTAACAAAAGCAAGGCTTGACCACCAAAGCACCCAGGAGAAGAGCTACGGGCTATTGAAGAGCAGATGTACATACCTCCTGAAGAAAGAGAACAGCCAAAATCATGGAAACAAACAAACAAACAAACAAACAAATGAGGAAGAAAGAAAAATAATTAAATCATAAGAAATCAGACCCTGCTTATTGGCAATACAAAATGTTCTATGCAATATTTTACGAAGCAGGCACCGGACATCTGATTGTCTACATTTGATATTTTGAAATGATTTGTTAATTTCCATTTGATCTGGAATTAAAAAAGAAATCCATGACGATCAGAACTGATTATCAGGTATTTTCACCAAGTGGGCACTTTAGGTCCAGGCTTTCTGAAAGGCCTCCTGCTATTCGCTGTCACTAACATACCTGCTTTACAATGCAACTGCAGAGCACTGCTGAAAAGTCTCACTAGAGGGCATGCAACTCTCAATTTAATAATATTTCAGAAGAAAAGTCAACTGTTGCAGCTTCATGAGCTTCCCAGCCAAAAAGAAGCGAAACTGCATGTGGTCTACATAGATTGCATCGCCTTCAGTTATATAAAAACATTTTTTTTTTAAATTCCATTTGGCCCTGGATTGCTGCCAGGCTTTCATTGTATTGTGAACACACTGGTTGTTAAAAAAACCCACAAAGCAACAAAAAACATCCAAATAAAAAAAAAACACTGAAACTCTGTTAATGATAATTAATAAAGAAAAACAAGACCGCCATGCTTTGTGATATATTGCATATCATCTAACAGACAGGTGAAGGAATACTCCAGTGGCACATTGTTTACGTGACGGGTCATGTCACTAACTTTGACACCCTCGATGTTTATTACTGCTCAATATCCCATCAAGATGCTGCTGGCCGAATGAAAATGCTGCCACTCATGGGGTTTCATCAGATAAAAGACTGTTCCGGTCCCCCACAATCAGCATTAACAGAGCCACGGGGATATTATTTGTAGATTTGTACGTGAGCTTCTCGGGTTCCTGCACTGTTTCGAGGAGCCTGAGCGGCCCCTGGTGAAGACAATGCGCCGCTGGAGAACAGCTTCTCTTCAGACTGCATTTTCATGACATAACCCTGCAGCCTTTGCTCAGATCAGCCTGGTTGAATTCCTCAATTTCTTTCTTGTTTGCTTCACTTGTAATTCAAGAGCCCACACACACACACACAAAACCCAAGTGGCACTTGGTGGGGGGGGGGGGATTAGTTACATCCAACATGTCCCCCTAGTTTACTTTCTTCCCAAAATTCAGGCTGGACCTGTAACAACTAAAGGGAGAAGAGACTTAAAGGTGTGTGTTAGGCTGTCGCACACAACCTTAGTTATTGAAATCTGCGATTCTGCCTATGGCTTTCACAGCTTTCTGTAACATTCTCCTTCTTTGTCCCTTTCCTGCACCTCAGTTTGTTAACTCCCCTGTAAAGGGCAATTATTGCGAACAGAAAGGAAATGAGGCTGTAAGAAACTGCTTGTCTCGTATGAGAATCGATGTCTCATGGGAAGAAGCTACAAGGGAGTGGGGAAGATCTCATTGACCATGGTTCATAGATACTGTAGATGCACGCCATGTCAGAGAGGAATTTGTTCTGAGATCACTCCTCCTTCCGCCCCATGTGGTCTCTTTAGCACTGAGAAAGCTGCGAAGTGAAGGGATGGAAGGCAATAGTGAGTTCTCACATGGGGCATGCTGTGTGTGTGTATTCTGTGTGGTTTTAATAATTCATCTCAGGCTTGATGCTCCTGTCTGATCTCAAGGCCACATTCATAATGCATTGAGCAAGAGCGCACGCTTCAAATGTCTAAACACATTCCCAGCCAGCTCCATGGAGTGCGTTTCCCTCAACCAGCCGTTTCCTTGTTTAAAAGATTCAGAACATGTTCGAGACACCGTCGATGGCATTTCTATCTGGGAGCAGCATAACGCCTTGTATCCTGATCTCATCAAGATCTCGGAAGCGGAGCAGGCTGGGTCTGGTCTGTACTGGGATGAGAGATCTCCAAGGAAACCAAGGTTGCTGCTGACTGGTTTTGATTCTTCTTCGTGGGACTTTAAAGCTGCTGTCCTAGTCTTAATAAAATCCTGAACTGTGCACAAAGCCATGGCCACACACACACACTCAACAAAGGAGATTCCAGGATTGTTTTTACAGGCCTAGTTTGCAATGCCTCCGTGCAACTGAACCGTCATGAACTGTCCCTTAATGCTGAGACACGAGCCGGAGGCCGGACTCACCGAGCTTCAGCAGCCAGCCCTCGCGGTCGGGGTTGAAGAAGGTGTGCGTGAGGTCATTGCCGTCGTCCTCTGGGATTTTGAAGGGCTCGTTCTTGATGCTTTCATACAGGTTCTGCAAGTGTGAAGCCAGCAGTGCAGAAAGACAACACTTCACTTTCACACAGAAGAGACGACCACCTTTACACAGCAACCCAAACACTCTTTGTCTTCACACCCTTTGGAGCATCTCAGAAATTGAGGCAGGCCCATCTCAAACGACTACACAAGATGAGCAGCATAGGAAAGCAGCTGAAGATTTTTGTTTTTTACAAAACAGCACATGATCTGGTTGAACAAGACAGCTATAGATTTTTTTATGAGCCCAGGGTTGGGATCGGTACTTTGGAACTGGACTCTCAGCGCTGCGGACGTGGATTTGCTGTTCTCTCTGTCCTAAATGCATAGGCCAAGAGCTCGACCCAGGAAGGAAATGTGGGAGCCACTGACCCGGAGCAACTCCTCAGGCAGGTCGCCCCCATCATTGATGCCCCGGTTCATGGCGATGAATCGCTCCACGGACGGCTTGTCCTTCACATTGGGGTTGTGCAGGCTGGTGTTGAGCATGATGATGGCGAAGGACAGCACGTAGCAGGTGTCTGTGGGTCAAGCCGAAAACGGAAAGCAAAGACTGTTGCTTCATGGCTCATTTCCAAATAGAAAAACTGACTAGGACTCAACACAAAACCACCTGACTTTAAAGTTCGCCACTCTCACAAACCACCTCATTAGCCGCCCGAGCAAAGTCGAGGTGACGGGGCTCGATTCATCATTTGTGCTCGCAACTTAGTTCAAAAGGCCGGTCGGTCTAATGTAGTGTTTAAATATAAATGCCAATCACCCTGCCTGAAAGGATGCCACTTTGGGATGAAAGAGCATGACTGCGTGATGAACACAAGGCTCTTTCCATGCTACCCTGGCTCTGTTTGGAGCACAGCTGACACAGCAGCACTTTAAATTTAACACAGCAAGATCAGCAGAAACAGCATAAATAATGTATCCCTTTAACTCCCAGTCCTGCTACATATAGTAAGATTCACAGGTCTGTTAACATTCAGAGCATCAAATATTCAAAAGCCCCAGTATGTACTTTATTGATATCGTCCTACGTAATATCTTTACAGGTCTTTAAAGGAATGGACTTTAGCAAGGCAGACTGTTTGGAAAGATTAAAGCAGCATTAAGCCACAGTGGAAATCACAACTGATCCATAACAGTTCCTCCATTTGAGAAACCACATTCTCTTAATTCAAGAAAAATATGTTCTTGAATAGAGATACTTTGGAGCCAACATCTATGTACTGTACGAGATTCCATAATCGATGGGAATACTGAAGAACCAGATGCCAAAGGAGGGATTTGCAGGCTGGTTTTTAGATTGGGAGATCTCAGGGATCATCTTGTCACCTTGACGATGACCCCTTGCCCTGGCTGTCCCTAAGGGCATTACCCTAAGATTCTAAGATCTCCCTGGGCACTGCCCAGAGATGCCATTCAGAACCTCTGCTCGGATAACTTTGCCATCCACTGTATCCTGAAAGACATTCTGCGAGGACAAATCCTTCAGGAACCCTCAGGAAAAGCGTTCAGGCACCATTCACGCCATTCGTTCCATCACGCCAGCTAGATCTGCCACTCAGCTGGAGTGTCCAGCGGCCTGCCACGAGGACGTGAGCCCCAGCAGCACCTGAAATCACTGACCTGTGGACTGGAAGACCCCAGGATTACACTGGCAGTAGCGCTGGGCAAAGGCCTCCATCATGCGGTCAATCTTCTGTGCCTCTCCGGGCAACCGGAAACTCCACAGGAACTGCCTGCGAGGAGACGACCACGGATCCCAGTCAACACGGATCACGGTATTCACCACGACACTCAAAACAAATGGCAAGACTGTGGGCACTAATGAACACAGTTCCCTGTGGCTACACAGTGAAAATCTGAAGAACAATGCAGTCATCACCATCATCATCATCATAATAAAGTGCCAAGGACACCGCACATGAATCACTGTACATAGTGTACAAAGTACAAAACACAACAGGGAAAAAAAACAAGGGCTTACAGGTTTATATATAAAGAATGTAGGGCAATCAGACATAGGCCGTGGTAAAAGGGTAATGCAAATCTTAATATTAAGGTAATTTTTAAAAAGTAAATTGTTTTTTTATTTCTTGACAATTCATAACAAGTGTTTCCTTCCTACAAGGGACAGTAGCCCTCCTAGGGAATTACCGTAGAGCCTGCACCAGGTTCAGGTCTGTGAATTCATGCAGCTCCACGAAGGCATGAAGAACCTGGATATTGAAATCATCCCTGCAAAATACAAAACAAAACAGCAGGTTCAAAACTTTTTGTCCCTACTAAATAAATCCGGGAGGATAATCGTTTTAATAGGAGTGAAGAATGAAAAGCGAGTGCATCTCTCTCAATTTCAAGCGGATTACCTCACTCTTAACCTCTGCGACCTCTCAATAAGAGATCCTCCCCAGTGGGGGTCTCAGGGACCCCCGTGGGAAAGGAGACACTCCGAGGCGGAGGGGGCGAGCCCAGCTCCCTGCCTGCCCCCCTGTTTCAACACCAGGGGCTGCAGATGGCCCTTTTCCCTCCACTGCCCGACGGCTCACTCCGCTTGTGCATCCCAGCTATTCCAGAGCTCCGTGTCGGGAGAAGCCGCCCCAAGTCATGACCGTACACCCTCCACGTTGCACAGCCCCGTGCCCGAAAGCTGCGTTTGTAACCCGCGATTTAGCGATTCGGTCTACTTCCACCCCGGTGATCCAAAAACATAGCGGACTCACCCCAAGTCCAGACTGTATGTTATGAAAATGCAACCCGGAACTGGTTCAGAAAGACGTCCCGTTCAAAACATGTAGGAGGGTAAAACCACTGCAAGTGCACACTGTCATCACTCACCAACCCCAGCACAGCACAGCACAGGGCAGGGCAGGATGTTTATAACAGAGCCGATCTGAAAGATAGACCGCAGAGCAGGACTGTGGCATGCAACCTAGGTTTTCAAATACTACTGAAATTGACCATTTCCTAGTAAAGCTAACTATGGGAGCGGCAAGCTTTTCAAATAGGGCCTGATCGTTTTTGAGGGCCCCAGCTGTGAATAAGCTCATGCCTAAGGCTTTAATGGGCTCAGGGTTTTCACAATGACCATTTCCCGAAGCAAAGACGGTAGAAGGGCTTTCGGATGGAGCACGGAATACAAGGTTCTTTTCCCTGCTTTGCCACTGGTACGGAAAGAAAGGGAGGAAGGAATAAAAAAGGAAAAGATCCACTAATCCAGTGGATAGGCCTTCAGCTGCTTATGCTGTGCTTCAATATTGTAAATGCCAAAGAAATAATGTTCTATGAGGAAAAATGTCAGTTTATAATGGGGGGGGGGGGGATATGTATTTAGATAAACCATGTCCCATCTCTTCAGGCATCCATGTTATTGCTGAGGCTGGACTTTCAGAGACAAATTACCACGCTCTGAACGGATCACCGATGATTCTATTGCAATGTCCATCCATCCATTTTCTCAACTGCTTTATCCAATTCACTGTCGCAGGGGAAGCACTGCACACAAGGCAGCCACCCCAGAGCAAACATACTGTAAAGCCAGCTCAGAACCTTTGATCTGATCAACTCTCATGTGCAATGCGTGCCCTACATTGCAGAGAAATGCTGACAAGACCAAGACGCCTCATTCACTAGCTCCCTCCACTCGGACTGTTTTCAAGGGCTGACTCCCTGGGTCAGCCTGTAGCTCCTCATGACCACCTCTCCTCGTGCAGAAGATGGAACAGAGCATAGGCCGCGAGGCCTGGACAGTACGTTTCCCATCCCCTCCCCACTGCGGGGCTCCTACAGCGGAGCCCACACCACCCACACAGCTGCTTTCTTCCGCTCGGGCCTTCCCCAAGTGCAGTCACTTCCCCCCGCAGGAGGGAGGGAGAAGGTCGGCACAGGCAGGCCAGGGGAGCCGAGAGCTCGGGAGACAGGTGCCAGAAAACTGCAGCTGCAGATTTAATACCTTTTAAAAAAAAATGAAATCAAATCTTTTGATTTATGTAAATATGCCTGAAATTCACCACGTCTGAAGACATCATAATTCAATAATAATGATAATTCAATACTAATCAGGTCTACAGGACACTACAGTGGATTAACTTGTTTGATAAGCTTTCATTTTTATTCTCTTGAAAGTTAACAGGGGTGGTGGCTGTAGCTAGATGTTCTGTACTGATTCTCAGATGTTTAAATTTCACCTTTGAAAATATCCTTTAACTTAATGCTATTTTTGGAAAGGGCCCGAGGCACGTGTGCAATGGAAACTTTTTTTTTCCTCGTAGTGCAAGGGTGGTGCACAGGATGTTAAAAAGATGCAGCACCAAGATAGTAACTCCTTTCCTGTGCAGACCTGCTTTCCATGGTTAGTGATGCATGGAGGAATTTTTAAAATTCAGATTACAGTGCTGTATCAACGTGAAAACAGCTCTCTTCAAATCTCTTCAAAGGCTAGCTGCTGGAATCAACGGACTGGATAGACGGATTGTGACGCAGTGCTTTCCAGCCCTCGGTCAGGGGCGGGAAGGCAGTGTTCTGGTTCTCTCCGATTTCCAAGACATCAGGAGCCTGTAGCCAAGGATAAGCCAGGAACAGATCCTGTACGCAGACACCACCAATATCACAGTTCCACAACTCTAAATGAGTGCAGAGGGTATTAAAAGTATATTTGATCAACCGTGTTTTATGGATAGACCATAAAAAAGGAGTGCCTCAGCACGACAGTTCACTGAAATATAAGAAAATGTTCATCTGAATTTTGCCCCGATTAAATCTCTTAAGATTCTATATCCAAACCCTTTTTTTCCCCAGCCCGTAACAGAAAAGTCCTCAGAACAATATCACAGAAGGCCCACAGCCCACAGCACACCCTTAGACAAGACAGATGCATGCGGAAGCACAGAGACCGGCACACACGAGCCTCGTGCAGCCCCCCCAGCCGCCCGGGCGGGAAGCAGCTGACCTCTCGCCCAGGTAATCCCCGATGGCGGTCTTGTTCAGCCCCTCGCCCTTGTAGAGGAACTGCGCGATATCCTCGCAGGTGTTCTTCAGCAGGTCGTTCTCGATCAGGAACTGGATCCCCTGGGGAGGAACAGGCGCACAACCAGACAACAAGCAGGGTTAGACCATGACGGGGCCCTCCCCTGCTGTACCCCAAAGCTCTGTCTGACGACTGGCTGGGTCCAGAAAATCGCCAAAAGCTTACCTTTTTGGGGTCCATGTTGAATTTCTTACGGCCCATGGCCACCTGTTTATTCCTCTGCATGTTTTTCCTGCAAGATAAAATATCAATTCACCTAAAAAAAACCTTAAAAATGCAGTAAAATATTAAAAATTTAACTTTTATTTTATTATCATAGAAGCATTATATTTGGTGATGGGTGTACCTAACCAGTGCAGCACCAGCTTCACAATAATCTTGGGCACACTGCTCAAAAGGAGGTCACCCCTAACACTCCCCAAACGTAACTAGGCATTTCCAAATTAGGGTACCCAGAAAGTGAGGTGCTTGTTAAAACAAAGAGGGCCAGCAAACTGACTGTAGAAGAGGGAACTTTGTGTTCTACCATTTAGTTCCCCATGAATAAAGCACTCTGAAGACAGGTGCACCATGGTTACCTTACAAGTCTCTGATTTTCAATAGTAACCTAAAGCCACTGCCTTCAAGATACAAGCTTCTTTAACCTTGTTAATTTACATGAATATAAACATATACAGCACACACATGTGGAAGCTTGGGTGCAGACATCTATACGTGCCTTTCAGTCATTTCCAAAAGTAACAGGCATTCTGAATTAAAGTCACTATTATACCTCTTTTCCTCTGGGAAGTGAGGCAGGCAATATGTAGAGGCAGCTGTCGTTTCCAATTATAACTTGTGTTGGTAACTAATCCCGCCAAGGCGGTATCTGTGTAGTTAACAGTATCCGCACTTAAAGATCGTGTAGTGAGAACCGAGAGTGTTGCTTGTGCGGGGCTTTTCAGATACTCCGCATCATAGGGAGGTAACCCAACACGATATGGAAATGGTCTGGAAAGAGACTAGCTTTTGTAGCAGTGGTAGGTCTGGCCTGGAGAAATGCCCAATCAGCAGGTGTGGAGCTGTGACTGTGGGCTCTAGAGAATCAGTGACACTAGAAGTCTGTGGTTTTCCTCCCATTAGAACCCTGTTGCTGCACTCCTGTTCAAAAAACTCACTCAGTTTCTTCCTCACTTTGTTTCTGCTTGCTGCACATGCTTTACCCATAGAATTGGGTTTGAACAAAAGCATCAACCAAATAAATTATTAATGAATTTACACGGTTTTAAGTGGTGAAATAAAATTCTAAAAGCACCGCAGATTTTAATTTTTCTTCACTGCAACTCTGAAAGGGTGCTGTAGAGCATGCAGGTGCCTGGGTGTAAGATCTTGTTTGGGGGAGAAGAAAAGAGGGGGTGTTAACTTCAGTAGTAGATGAGCCCCCTAAGCCCAACCGGGCCCACAACACTGTCCCAGGAGCGCTCCCATTGCTTGCTGCCGGACCAAAATAGCCCTGAATAATTCACAGGCAGCTCATCAATATGGATAAAGATGATTAAACATTTAAAAGGCCTCTTTAAAGATTGTGAACAGAGTTTTTAGGCCTTGACGTTATTATTTAATGAGACGTGTACGGTCGATTTGAAGTGCGTGCCTTTATTGTGGCTCGGTGTTAATCTGAGTCCAAGCGCAAAATGAGCTGCGTGTCCCCAGTGCCCTGGAGCAAGCCTGAGTGACCAAGAGAGGTGCCCAAAGAGCTTTATTAAATTCCTCGCCTGCACATTTCTGAACACAAAGGTACTGTTGCTCTGGAGGCACTATAGAGGGGAACAATCTCACTTCGTTTGAGGGGGATATGATGCTCTGGTTAAGATAAAGTCTACAGAGTAGAATATTGTCTGACAACTTGGTTCAGGTTTTTGAATTTCTGGAAGGGCCTGACCAAGACTTAAAGATCAACAGTACTACAAGGCCCATGGGACACAATACATGCGAGGTTTAGGAGAATTTTAGACTCAAAAACAGGGGGCATTTATTTACCCAGAGGATCATGTGTTTCAAGCAGATGTTGTGAGATATTTTAGACTGATTTTCTTGCCACTAGCATCCAACCCAAAACTGGTGGGCCATGTAGACATGAGTAACATCATTAAACTCCTCCAGCTAGTTGTCACTTTTTCTCCCGTGATCGATTCTTCTGATTTGCCCAGCAGCTTCAGGCTTCGGGCTCACGCAGTGCACCCTAACCCTTACCTCTCTTCAGTGGATCCCAGGTTTTCAATCTCATTCGTGACCTCTGCTATCTCATCCTTCAGACGCTGAGAAGAAAAACAAGGAGGAGAGGGGGTGTAAAACTTTGCCAAGGAGGGACGCAGCAAATTGACTCTTCAGCCCATTTTTCCCCATGCACCTCAGGTGCACTACAGACACCTGAAGGATGTAAGGCAGACAGACAAACGGGCTTCAAGCAGCTCTACAGCATGATTTATCACTGGACACAAATTTGCCGATTTGCTCCTCATGCTCAAGTGAAACCCTGGGGACGTTAGGACCCACAAGGTTTTCTCTCCACAAGGCCCTGGCAGAAGAGCAGTGGGAATGCGATTACAGGCCTCCAGTCACTTTTTATTTCATTACCGCAATCAGAAGGGGCCGTGTTCACTTTGATCAAACATAATACCACCAGCCAGACAGGCAGCCGTGAACGGGGGCTGCTTTTGTGTTCGCAGTCTGAGTTTAACAGCACACGCACACGTCCTCCTCTGAAAACAGCCGAGGAAAGCCTCTTTCCTGTGCCCGTTAAAATGACGGGAGAGGGAAAACGCTTCTTTGCATCGGCATGAAAGACACCTCTTTCTTAAACAGCTCTAGGCCTAAGCCCTTTTGATGTGAGTTATCTCCTCTAGATCACGTAAATCGACTAAAAAGAAAAAGAACTAGTCTGAACACTCCAAAAAGAACAAATCGCTCTTCCCGGCACCTGCATGAGAAGAGTCTGTCTGCGGCTCGCGATGACAAGCTGGATTTCGCAGGTGGTTTTGGTTCTGAAACACTGCTGTGAAAGCAACACAGGTGCTCAAATCAATGTCATAGGAACTTAACATCTTCTTCCCAAAACAAATACGATACACCTGCAATCAAATGGACTCTTGGTGTCCAAGAATAAGCTACTCTGCATATGAACATCAAGCACGTTCCCAGAGCAAACTGCCTAAACATGGGAACTTTCAGAACCGGTAAATAAAAGCACAGAAGTAGACAAACATCAGCAACAAAAAGAATGAGCACATTTTCCGTTTCTGTTCTTGGTTAAAGGACCCTGCCCGCATGGCTGACATCACCACACTCCTCCTCCATCTTGCCGGCCTTCACTGCAAAAATTACGGTCCTCCAACAGCAACACCCGCTTCAGGAAAAGTGCAAAGAGAAACGCCTCTTCTCCTGCGTTCGGCATGACCTTTCGCACAGGCTGTGCCCCCTCACCCCCCCCAACACCAAGCCTTTGAAATCCCCGTCTTGACATCGCAGCCTCAGCTGCTGAGAGGCCTGCTCACTCCACTCCTGCATTAGTGCTCCATTACTCTCTGGAGCGCTCAAAACAGATCAATAACCTTCACTTGTTTCCACAAGGCAGCAAGCCCTCCGGCGGGTGAGGGGGGAGGAGGGCTGCCTAGAGAGGAAGAAAGAGAGAGGGCCCCCTCCCTCCTCCTCCTCCTCGCTCTCCCTGTACCCCAGGCAAACTCTCCTCCAGAACGGGGTACAGCTATCCTGTCGATCCGACCTGACCCACTTTCACACGGGCTTTGTTCTGACCTCAGAGTCTCCAGAATGCTTCAAAAGACCAAGCAAATAAAATACAATCCCCTTTAAAAATGGCCAGCATGACCTGAGCCCCCGTTCTGCCCCCTTTCAGAACAGCCGGTTTTAAAAGGCTCTCTTGGGCTGACCGCCAGGGTTATCACAAAGCAGTTCTGTAAACTCAGCAGCACTATAAGCACTCCAGCATTTTGAAATACAGTACATTTTTCTTTGGGACAGTTTGTTTTCCATGTCTTTGTAAGGTTGCACTGCATTTCAGACCACCCCCATTTACTGCCCCCAAAATCTTCGACTAAACTGTGCAAATTCTGCAGGGAAAGAGGCACAGCGCCTGAAACACTGCAGCAGAAAGCAGAAAATGATCAATTCCTTTTAACCATGTGAGACAAAAAAAGAGACGGGAGGGGTGAAAAAATGCTGTAATATAATGAACCTTCAACACTGAGGCCGCAAGTCACGAAGAAGGAAAAACCATTCCAGAAAAAAAAGCTCTTGCTGTCTCACCAGTAATGGATTTTTGCTGTTTATCTGGGGGATGATAACAGGGATGCGGCCTTCTCAGAGCTATTACACAGCACTTTCTTAAAGCGTTTTAAATACACTCAGCCCGGCTCTTCTCCATTGTCCTTTAACCACTGAGAGCCCTCCTGAGTCACTTCCCTGCAAGCTGCCCTTGGTACACCCTCCTTTATTAACACACAGAAAAGGAAAGCCTGCCCCCTTTGGGAATATTTAACATTCTCAATCATACACTGCGGGGCTTCAAATCCAGGACAATCCGGGCCCTTCGACTGCTGAAAGGCCATCGCTGCAAGAATCCGCAAGCAGGGCTGGACAGGCAGAGGGCAGGATCGTTGGGCTTGGTCTCGGGCGAGTCTTTCCGGCCCTGACAGACTCCGGAGGCTGCTCAGACCCAGCCGGGGGGGGGGGGGGGGGGGGGGGGGGGGGGGGGGGGGGGGGGGGGCACGTAGGTCCATCGGCGTGTCATCCTCCCGGCCTAGCCTGCGCCTCCGGGCCCTGCCCGCTAAAAATAGCCCCGATCTCCCTCAAGGCACGTTTGTAATTAAGACAGAGAATTCGCCTGGAAACGCAGGCATCTTCGGATGCAAGTGGTATGAAAAAATAAAAATAAAAACGCGCAACCCTGCACTTTCACTCTCCTTGCTCCCAGCGGTGCTGGATGAACTCGTGTGCCTCTTCACCGTCTGAGGGGAGTAATTACTGCTCCTCCTTGCTTTCCATTAATTGCGCATGTCATAATTTCCCATCCACTTCGTCTTAAAAGACCACCTCCTGGCCTCAATCAAAGTGCAGTTCATTTGTGCTTCAGTGCCAGAAGGCTGACAGAGCCACATGTAGCGCTGCTGAGGGGTCGCTCGCCCTGCTCTGCCCTGTGCCCGGTGCCCGGGTGCGGAGTGCCAGAGAGACGCTCACTCATTAGTCTGCAGGTCTGAGATGGTTGTTAACTTCATGCTGGAACACGGCTTTACTAAACCTGTCAACGATGATGGCAGGATAAGCAGTAATCAGACTAGGATAGTGCACCAGCTTCCTTTTCTTATGGGGTGGTAAAACAGCCTATCAACAAAAAAGAGGGAAGGGGAATTGAAACAGATTGGGGTAAGAAGGGAGTCCATTTCAAAATTTGTCATTTCTAACCTGAAAGTCAGTAACCAGAAACACAGAAGCAGGTTTTTAAACCCTTGTCTCGCGTGAAGCAGGCTCTTAATATCGGGGAGATTCTCAGGAATCAAACACCAGCTCGAACTCGAATATACAGCTAACAAGGCCTCATTTAGGATATCGTACGCAGTGGTGATCATCATGACACAGAAAACATATTGCTGCTCTGGAATTAGTCAAGGGATGAGCAACCGGATACATTTCTGGGCTCAAGGGATTGTCCTACAGTGCCAGACTGTAGGAATGTAACTTTTTTTTTTAAAGTCTTCAACAGGAAGGACTACAAGGGAACCCAATGAAAGCGTTCTAAATCCTCAAAGGCACCGACAAAACTCAACCCAGCGGACACTGTCAAAATAAATGAAAAGTGAAACACCGAACCAGACAGCACAAGTGGAAGCTAAGCGAAAGAGCGTTTAAAAACAAGAACCTGAGGCCCTTTACCCAGAGGGTTGCAGGAGGATGACCCAACCTAACCAGTCATAGTCATGTAGAAGCTGATACCACGGCTTCTTTAAAGACAATGCTGGACCAATTAGCTCCCAGCAACCACATGGTTCAGATGGGCCGAATGGACTCCTTGTTTTGTAACTGTTCTTGCGTTCTTAGAAGCGAGAAAGCAACTGCTCAGCGACCAGATGCTCACTCTGTCCACTGTGAAGTAACAAGGCACCAGAAAGGCTTAGGCGTGTTCTCGTTTCACCAGAAAGAGTCTCCACACTTCATTCTTCTTCTGTTTGTTGGTTTGTCCCTGTTTGCATGTGTCCTCGCTCACTCGCGCTTAACCACAGATGAATGCAAATACAAAAGGAAGCAAGAGGGCTGGGGTTTCACTACAAATGTGCTAGTGACCTAAATCACGGCACGCACTGGCAGCACACTGCACTTGTGAAATACACCAAGGGGATGTCGTCAGCTTTGGACTCTGTGTTAGTGCTTGTCAACTACATCTGTTTCCTAGAGAAGGTATAACCTTAACACTGAGTCATGCCAGTCCAGTGTTAGGTAGACAAAATCAAGGGTTT